TCTGCATGTATGTGTGTACAGTCCATGTGTGTCGGTGTTTACAGAGGTCAGAAGAGGGCACTGGATCACCTGGAACTGGAGTTACAGAGCTGTGAGCTGCCGTGTGGGTGCTGGGAATTGAACCTGGGTCCTCTCTGGAAGAGCAGCCAGTGTTCTTTTTTTTTTTTTTTGTATTTTATTTTTTTCTTATCAGTTACATTTTATTAACTCTGTACCCCAGCCGTGTCCCGATCCCTCATTCCCTCCCAGTCCCTCCCTCCCTCCCTCCTCTCCACCGTGCACCTTGCCAAGTCCACTGATAGGGGGGACCTCCTCCCCATTCATCTGATCCTGTTTTATCATTTTCTTCAGGACTGGCTGCAAAGCTCTCCTCTGTGGCCTAACAGGACTGTTCCTCCCTTGGGGGGTGGGGAGGCCAAAGAGCCAGCCATTGAGTTCCTGTTAGAAATAGTCCTTGTTCCCCTCACTATGGGAAACCAATTGGTTACTGAGCTACCACAGGCTATATCTGAGCAGAGGTTCTAGGTTACATTCATACATGGTCCTTGGTTGCATGTCAGTCTCAGAAAAGACCCTGTGCCCAGATATCTTTGCATCCAGTGTTCTTAAGCACAGAGATATCTCTCCAGCTTCCCCTGAAGGATTCTTTATCTAATATTTTAGTTTTTATTTCTTTACTTAGAAAAAGATATACAAAAAATGTAAAAAACCAAGACACCCGCAGCCATATACCTACCAGCAGAAATAACCAAAGAAAATAACAACCAATAATGTAATTATTACTTTTAATGATTGTATATAATTTTATCTCCTCTCATAAGTAATATTTATCATTTTAACATAGTGACACTACAGCTTCTTCATATGTTGTGAACAGTTTTAAAAATGTTATAATTAGAGGAAATCATTACCATCTCACTTTCATCTCTAATGACCTAATGAGCTTCTCTACTTTGCTATTTTTCCTTACTTTTTGTATTTTCTATTTGGGGAATTATCTCTTCAGGCCATTTGGAATCTCATTTTTATTCCTTAATGATTTACAAAAGCTTTTTTTTGGTTTATTAGGGGATATAAATGTTAGAATACGAATTTCCCAATTTTTACTGATTGAGAGTTTAATGGGGGCTTACGGTTTCAGAAGGAAAGGTCGCACACATCATGACAAGGAGCATGGCAGCAGGCAGTCAGGCATTGCATTAGAGCAGTAGCTGAGAGCTTGCATCCTTATCCACAAGTAGGTGTGTGTGTGTGTGTGTGTGTGTGTGTGTGAGGGAGAGAGAGAGAAAACAAACTAGAAAATGGCACAGGCTTTTGAAATCTCCTCCAAGACCATATCTCTAATCCCTCCCAAACAATTCCACCAACTAGGGAGCAAGTATTAAAATATATGAACCTATGAGAGCCATTTTAAAGTCAACCACCACATTGTACTCCCTGGCCTCCATAGGCTTGTAGCCGTGATATAATACAAAATGAATTCAGTCTAATTCCTAAAGTCCCCAAAAATTTTTCACACTCTCAACAAGTTTTAAAGTCCATTTTTTTGTGATACTCAAGACAGTCTGTTAACTGTAACTCTTGTAAAGTCAAAAAGCAAATTATTAAGCAGAAAGACATACATAGTATATACTCACTTATAAGTGGATATTAGACAAATAATACAGGACAAACATACTAAAATCTGTACACCTAAAGAAGCTAAGCAAGAAGGAGGGCCCTGGCTAAGATGATCAATTGTCACTCAGACATACAAACAGGATGAACTTTGGAAGAAGGAGAAAACAGGAAACAGTATAGGAGCCTACCACAGAGAGCCTCTGAAAGACTCTACCCAGCAGGGTATTAAAGCAGATGCTAAGACTCATAACCAAACTTTGGGCAGAATGCAGAAATCTGAAGAAAGAAGGGGGAGATAGTAAGACCTGGAGGGGACAAGAGTTCCACAAGAAAAGCAACAGAAACAAAAAATCTGGACCCAGGGGTCTTTTCTGAGACTGATACTCCAACCAAGGACCATTAATGCATATAATGTAGAACCCCTGCTCAGATGTAGCCCTTGGCAGCTCAATGTCCAAATGGATTCCTTAGTAAGGGGAACAGGGACTGTCTCTGACATGAACTCAGTGGCCTGCTCTTTGATCACCTCCCCCTAATGGGGGAGCAGCCTTGCCAGGCCACAGAGGAGAACAATGCAGCCAGTCCTGATAAGACCTGATAGCCTAGGGTCAAATGAAAGGGGAGGAGGACCTCCCCTACCAATGGACTTAGAGAGGAGAATGGAAGGAGATCAGGGAGGGTGGGATCAGGAGGGAATGAGGGAGGGGGCTACAGCTGGGATACAAAGCAAATAACCTGTAATTAATATAAAACAAAAACAAAAAGAAAAACAAAAAACAAAAAAACAAATTATATACTTCCAACATACAATGCAGAAACAGAAGGTTCAAAGGCTCTGCCATGGCTGACATTAGAATTACTGTCTAGTATGTGCTCAAAAATGAGAATGGGAACCAGTCACTTACCTCATCTTGAGTCCTTTTGTTTTCCCTGCATTTTTTTTGAGTACAACTAGATTATCTTTAAGATGCCTGAGTAGTTTTCATAGAAGCAGCATTTTTTTCTTAAACCCATACAATAACCTCCTTGTTCTGCATAAAGCAGGTTGAGTACCCTATTATATTGTAGAACTATTTCAGCTAACAAATCTACCTGTTGATAGATCTGGGTCTATTTAGTTTCAAAAGGTACGTTTTTGCTAATGAGCTTGGAGGCCAGCATGGTTCCTGGTATGCAAATGTGGACACTATAGGTAGCCATTTTATCCCTTTTGGGGATAAAGGGAGTTTCCTTTGTTGAGGATAAGGGACAATGTACTCTCTTCTATAACTACTTCCTGCTGAAATTACTGTCATGGCCCAGGAAGTCTGGAATGCTAGTCAAATGTCAGGAGGGATTCAAGCAATAGAGCATTTATAATAAGCATATAGTTAGCTGACTCGGCTGAAGAGACATGAAATATTCACATTGGCTGGAAATCTACTGGGACAGATACAGACTAGGGATAGATGTTAAAGTTAAGAAACTTAAAGGTAATCTTACATTTAGGAGTTTCAGGCTCATGGTCCTGGTAGGTGCAGGAAGGGTAAAAGGTGGATCCAAGTCTTATGATTTCCTTGACTACCTGAAGTTTACATGAATTTTTTCGTTTACAAAAAAGAGATAGAGTGGGCTGGAGAGTTGGCTCAGCGGGTAAGAGCACTGGCTGTTCTTCCAAACGACCAGGTTTCAATTCCCAGCAGCCATATAATAGCTCACAGCTGCTTGTAATTCCAGTTTCAGTGGATCTGATATCCCACACAGATATATATACAGGCAGGACACTATTGTACATAAAATAAAAGTAAATAAATTATTTTTTAAAAAAGACGTTTTAGATATATTAACATTATCACTGTTTGTAATTTGTACTGAAATCTACATTTTAGAAAAAGCATCTAACAGGTGTCTGTAAAACAGCTGGAGTAGGCTCATGCCTTCAAGTCATAGCAAGAGCTATGGTTTTGGGTTAAAAAGCATGCATATTCTTTTCTCTGTCGAGAGGGCCCAATATATTGATAGGACAGAGATGTTTTTAGACAAAGGAAATTTAGAATCTTGAGCTTGTGACTGTGATGTACTTTACCAGCTTATCAGAGCACCACTGATCAATGTTGAAACTCTGAACCTTTGAAATCTTAGTATAACAATAGCATAGAAAGGGAAAGAAATCTGAAACTTTTCTCATTTTTCACATATCTTAAATTGCTTCCTAGGCCAGGCATGGTGGCACATACATTTAATCCCAACACTAAGGAGGAAAAGGCAGGTGGATATCTGTGAGTTTGAGGCCACCTGGTCTACAAAGTAAGTCCAGGACAGCCATGACTCTATTATACAGAGAGACCCAGCCTTAATATGCCTCCCCCAAGTCACTTCCTTAGACCTCTAATTTGCATTTATGTATCATAAAACACTGTTTTAGAGCCAGGAGATTTTTAGATTGCATCAAGCTGATGATTAAAATTAACCATCACAGCTATCTATGGTTAGGTAACTGCATTAGTTTCTTAGGGTTACCATAGAAACGCCAGCCCAAACTTGATGTTTTATATCAGCAAAATTTGATTATGTCATGTTTCTGGAAACTAGGTGTCCAAAGTCAAGGCACAACAGGGTCACACTCTCTCTGACATCTCTAGGAAATGTCCTTCTTTGCCTTGCTAGCGACTGATGGCTGGTAGGCCACTGTAGTTCTGTGCTTTTTGATGTACCACTCTGGTCCCAAAGCCATCTTCTCTCAGTGTGTCTTTGTATCTTTTTCCTTCTGTGTTTGCCTATGTGAAGGTTTTTCTTTTTTGAACCTTTATGGGACATCCTTAATATATATTTGTTAATATTTTTGAGATTATAATACAATTACACAATGTCCCCTTTCCTCCCTTCAATTATTTCCATGTACCTTCGTCCTCCACACCTGCTCTCTTTCAAATTTGTGTCTTTTTTAATTTTATTCTTTTAAATGGACATGATGACATAGAATGGGGAAAGCTCAGTATGCTTCAACCTTAGACAAGGAATGTCCAGTAGAAGATAGTACAATGTTTGTCATGAAAATAAATGAATACATAAGTGAGTAACAATGGGCTGATCAATCAGATAACTGCAGTGTTAACTTGTGGGCAGCTGGAGAGCTGGTCCTGGCGTTTAAGATAGACATGAGGGCTAGAAATACAGATTTATGATTTTTCTCCTTGGTGTGGTAGAGGAAAGACGGGAAGTCAAGATCACATGAGATTAGAATAGGTACTTTATTAGAGTCAGAAGAACATGGGAAGCAGGTTAGCTTCTGCAAACAGTGACTTGGCTGTTACTTATGGATAGAAGCAGAGAGAAGGGAGCAACAACAATTCCCGCCGTATTAATGTGTTTATTGTTTTTCTTCCTATTTTCACCTGTAGGGTTTCAGAGATGTTCTTCCAACTTAAAGAAATGAACGAAAAGGTGTCTTTTATAAAGGACTCCTTATTATCCTTGGACAGCCAGGTGGGACACCTACAGGACCTCTCTGCCCTGACTGTTGACACCCTAAAGGTCCTTTCTGCTGTTGACACCTTGAAAGAAGATGAGATACTTTTGTCCAGCAGAAAGCATTCTGCTGGCAGAAAACATCCCCACAGCTGGACCAATGTCATCTGTGCAAATGTTCTAAGCAGCATGGGGAGCTGCGGAAAGAAGAAATTTCAGTACTATAGCATGCCCCCTTCTTTGCTGCGGAGTCTTGCTAGAAGCCAGCTTCCCCAACGAGTGCAGAGCAGTACCCTTGTGGAGGTTACACACAGCAAGAGAGAGAACCCCCAAGTAAGAGAAGACCAGGAGGAACAAGAAATGAAATCGAGGACAGTTACTTCCGGGATGTCCCATGTCAGACAAACACACTCCAAGTATGGCCAGTTTCTCCTGGTCCCATCTTCTGGCGAGCGAGTTCCTTTGTCTTTGAGGACCTCCCCACCTCTTTTAAGATCATCTAAGGAGGCAGACATGGATGGCCTGACACTGGGACATATACATCCCAGTGAGATCACTCTCAACCTGCCTGGGCAGACCCCTGCTGCCTCCCACCAAGCACTGGTAGCAGAACACAAAGAGCAACACGAGAAAGTCGCACAGATGCCGGCCAAACCTGACAAGGCAGAACAAGATCCACTCATGTTCAGTGGCATACCTACTCCCGTGTCAATGACCTCTCTTCCCTCCAGAGCCATCAGCATGCAGGATGAAGGTGGATATTTGAACTGGGCATTTTCAAAGAGTGATGAAACCGATGTGTTTAGTTTTAGAAAAAAGTGGAAAACTTGCTTGCCCTCCACTGGCAGCAGTGACTCCATTCCAGGTGGAGACTGCTCTCAGCAGATTGGAGACAAGTCTGGACTGCACAGCTCAAAAAGACTGGCCAATGGTGGTGAGTGCTCAGTGGGGGAAGGACCATGGACCCAGCCGAGAAGTCCCTTTTGGATCAATCCTCTCTGCAGAGACAGACCTCTCATTAAGAGCCACAGTTTAAGATTCCACAAGGAGGAGAGACTGAAGAAAAGCTGGAAGAACAGTAGTAAGGAATAAATGTTTTAAATGTCTTTTTATTTTTTTCCCCTGGTCATATGATTTCTTATTTGTTCTTCTTAAAATTTTTATATAATATATTTTGATCATATTCTCTTGTCCTTCCCAACTCCTCATAGATTTTTCCTCATCTCCACAAATCCATGTTCTTTCTCTCTCTGAAGAAAATCCCAGCCTTGCAGAGGAAGAGGCTGGCAGGTCTCTGTGAGTTTGACCATTCCCTGGTCTACAAAGCGAGTCCAGGACAGCCAGAGCTCTGTTACACTGAGAAATCCTGCTTTGAACCCCACCCCCCCCCAAAAAAAAAACCCAGCCAACCAACCAACCAACCAACCAACCAACTAACCAACCGATCAACCGATCAACTGATCAACCAACCCAAGCCCCAAACAAAACACAAAACTTAAAAAAAAAAAATCATGGAGTTTGATTTGTGTTGGCCAACTATTCCTGAGCACATGGCCTGCCTTGCCTGGGATGTCACTCCATTGGATAAAAGTGATTCCCCCCATCTCTCAGCAGCTATCAGTTGCAAATAGCTTCTTGTTTAGGGGTGGAACTTAGTGACTGCTTCCCCTTCTCCTTCCTGTCATTCCTGTCTTGCATGAACTTGTGCAGGGCCTGTGCATGCTGTCACAGTCCCTGTGAGTTCCTATGTGCATAAGCCCTGTTACGTCTAGAAAACATCTTCCTTGGAGTCTCCCATCATCTCTGCCTATGAACAGTCATTCTTTCCACCTGTTTTCTGTGCCGATCCTCAAGCTTTGAGGGGAAGGGTGTGATAAAGATACCCATTTACGGCTAAGTGAGGAGCAAACATCTTTACATGTGCGGTCATTTGCATTGCTGCTGTTGTGAAAATGTCTGTGGTTGTTAAGGGCAGCGTCGTTCCTTTTCTCTCAGCCCCCTCTTTAAAACAAAATTGTCTCTGTAAACTGCCTTCAGCGTTCTCATCACACCGTGTTCCTTCCAGGCCATTCAAAATCCTCAGAGACGGGTTCAGCATGGATCAAAGCAAAACTGCTAACCAAGAACAGGAGCCTGTCAAAGAAAAAGAAGACTCAGGGACTCCAGGTGCCCGTAAGTATCCTGCCTTTTGTACAACTGAGTCAGTGTCCTCTCCCCTTGGCTTCCTTTGTGTCCACACAGTAACACCGTACGGGGAGGAGTGAAGGCACACATTTTTACTTGTTTATCTGCTCACAATCTGAAAGCCATTGGGGGTTGGTTCCAGATTGGGCTAGTTCAAGAAAGTCTGACTGAGCGCTTGTGTACAAGCCTTTCTATGAACATCCGTTTTCATTTCTCTTTGGCAAGTACTTGGGAGAGGTTGAGGAATGCCAGCATCCTGTGGCACATAACTGTCAAAGATGCCACCGTGTGGCTTTCTGTGTCCACCTGTTGGTTATGAGTGTATCAGCTCTTCTGCTTCCATATCTGTCCGCATGATGCTCAGTCTTAATCTCAGGTCCACTGGTGGCTCCGTAGTGTGCATCGTTGCGAGATTAGTCAGTCTTGACTCGGGCTCTTAGGAGACTTTCCAGGCACTCATTGGAAGTATCTCTGGGTCTTCTGTAGAATGCAGAAATTGATTTGTTTGCGTGCTGTGAAGTTGTAGACGCTCACTGTATGTCCCAGTCTTTTGTGGATGTTTTTGCAACCCTTTCTCCAAGCTTGCGTGCTACTTCCTTATTGTCAAAACTGTCGTCAGGAGCACGTAGACGGGTTTTTAAAAATTTGATAAAATATTTGACTCTTTCCTTCTGTAGCTAAGGGTTCGCTTCCTTCCCCCTTCCCCCCGCCCAACACAAGACTTTGAAACTAAGACTTTGTCTCTTGTTTTCTGATAAGATGTCGATACTTTGAGTTTCTACATTAGCTCCGGAGTCCATTTTAAGGTAATTTTTGTATATAGGGATAAGAAAGGATTGAATTTTCCCTTCCATATGGATATAAAAAAAAATCTATAGTTTTTGGTGAAAATGTGACTTCTTTTCTATTGAATTACCTTAACATTTGTCAAAAACTAATTGACTATACAGACACACAGTATGTGTGCCTCTATTTTTGTCTATCTCCATGCCAATACTAAATCTATCTCAACTACCGAAACTTTATAAGCTGTGAAATCATGAATAAAAGAAATCCTTCGTTTTTCAAGAAATGATTTGGCTATTTTATGTTCTTTGAATTTATATATAAATTTAGTCTCAAATCTCTGTTTTTACACAGAAGCCTTCTGGGATTTGGAACAGGATTGCTCTGAATCTGCATGCCAGTTGTGGGAAAGCTGACACCTTACCCACGACTAGGTGTCTGATCCACGGAAGCGCTATCTGTCTAGCTAGCAGGGTCTTTTTTAACCTTTTCTTGGTAATTCTTTGTAACTTTTAGCATTCGAGTCTTGAATATCTCCTGTTACATGTGTATCTAAGTATTGAAAATATGTCTCAAAAATTTTAAAATTTATTGTAATTGTAGTTACTTTAAAACAGTAAATCTGTGATTGTGTGTGGTGTATGTGCAAATATATATATATATATATATTTATATATATATGTCTGTGATTGCAATGAACATATATATATATATATATATATATGTGTATGTATATAAAATCTTGGTCTTATATTTCACAATTTTGCCAAACTCACTTTTGCTTTTAAAAAGTTTTTGGCCAGGCATGGTGGCACATGTCTGTAATCGCAGTACTCGGGGAGGCAGAGGCAGGAGGATCCCTGTGAGTTCAAGACCAGCCTTGTCTACAAAGTGAGTCCAGGACAGCCAAGGCTACACAGAGAAACCTTGTCTAGAAAAAAAGTGGTTTTTTAAAATAATTTATTTAGAACGATTTATGTAAGTGACGATACTGAAAGTGCAGTTTTAATTCTTTCTTTTCAGTCTGAATATATTTCATTAAATTTTTTTTTTTTTGCTTGATTACACCGGCTGGAATATCTAGTATCACATTAAATATGAGTGATGAAAGCAGGCATCTTGCAATTAAAAAAAAAAAAAACTGTAATGGAGGCGGAAAAAGCCCTTGCTTTTTCTTCCATTGTTCCTGGCGGATTGCGCTTTGTCTTTCATCATTATATGTTGGATTTTTTTTATTTTGTTAATTAATATTATATTGTCAGAGTTAATGCTCTGAGCATTAAACCAGCATGTCCTAGTTTACTGGGATAAACTCCTCTTGTCCACTTATGTATGTTTACATATGATATTAATTTTGCTAGTCCTTTTTGCACCTGTGTTTCTGGGACACTATCTTTAGTTGCTTTACTGGTGTAGTTTTGGTTTGGGTATCAGAATTGTCCCCAAATCATTGACCACATTAGACACATGTCTTCAGCTTTCATTTTTGAGTTTGTAAAAAGATGATAACTGTTTGACATTACATATTCAGTTGGATTATCCAATAAAACCATCCTCCTGGGAAAGTTTTTAACAACATGTTAAGCAATCTGTAACAGTCATAAGGCTATTTAGATATCAAATTCTTAAGTTGGCTTTGTCTGTTTCTGTATTTAAAGGCTTTTCCCACTTCATTTAATGTTTCCTGTTCATTTCTACACTTTGGTAACTTGGGGCATTTCTCTCTTTTGGTTAGCTGGGTCAAGGGTCTGTGGATCTCATCAGTTGGCATGCTGTTCTCTGTAATAGTCCTTCTCCCCCCCCACCCCCGGCTTTGTCTTTGGGGCAGGCTATGTAGCCCTGGCTAGTCTGGATCGCATGCTCCTCTCACATAACTGACCCAGAAGCTGTGGTTACAGGTGTGTCCCACCAGCCTTATTGTAATAATCTTTTGTTATTACTTTACCGTTGCATGCAGGATCTCTTGCATTCTGAACATTTGGAGTTTTATATTTTCTTTCTTTTTATTTTATGCCCAGCCTGGCTATAGGTTTTTTGTTTTCTTTTTAAATTTTTATTTATTTACTTATTTTTATTAATTACAGTTTATTCACTTTGTATCCCAATTGTAGCCCCCTCCCTTTTCCCCTCCCAATCCTATCCTCCCTCCCTCATCTGCTTCCATGCCCCTTCCCCAGTCCATTGATAAGGGAGGTCCTCTTCCCCTTCCATCTGACCCTAGTCTATCAGGTCTCATTAGAACTGACTGCATTGTCTTCCTCTGTGGCCTGGTAAGGCTGCACCCTCTTCAGGGGGAGGTGATCAAACAGCCAGCCACTGAGTTCATTTCAGAGACAGTCCCTGTTCCCATTACCAGGCTGGCTGTAGGTTTTTGTCTGTTTGGTTGATTTCTCTTTTTTTGAAAACCAACTCAATTTTACTGATTTACCCCAGAAATCAATTCTGTTTTCTTTGTTTAATTTGCTTTGAGTTTGATTTGATTTTGTCTTTCTGGTTTAAGTTAGAAAAATTTCCTAATGATTTGGGAGTTTCTTTCCATTTTTTAAAAAAATTATTATTTTAATTTACTCATTAAAAATTTTATACATGTAAATATTGCTTCTCTTAGTTTTGAATTCAGGCAGTCAGTGTTATAAAATTCCCTCCAAGCATATATTGGTTAGGTCCTACAAATTCTGATGTTGCTTTCATGTTAGTTCAGTCACTCATAAATATATTGTCAGAATAATGTTATCTAATTTTGCAAGAATTTACCTTTTATGGTTTTCACATTTTAAAAAATATGCTAATTTTAAAAATAAACTGATACTTAAAAATGCAGCTCTCTTTGTTTCAGTAATAAGAAGCAGTTAAAGGCATTTTATTACTGTTTTAATCTCTTTATTTGTTATGGGTCTGTTTAAGTCGCTCGTCATTTACCCTTGCCTTGATGTTTGTATGAATTTAGAAATTTGTCTTTTTTTATTTTCTACTTAATGAAGTGCAGGTTTTTAAAACATTCCTTTATAATATTCTGAATTTCTTTTGTGTCTGTTGTAATATTTCCCTGTTCATTCTGCTTCTTTAGTTAATTTGGGTCCCTTTCTTTCTTTTGGTTAGTTGGTCCAAGGGTCTGTCAATCTTGTTTACTTTCTCAAAGAACCAGCTCTTAGATTCATTGATTCTTTGTATTATTTTCTTTGCTTCTTTTTCATTAAATTTTGCTTTTTTTTATTATTTTTTTCCCACTCAATAGGTTTGGTTTGTTCTTGTTTTTTGAAATTCTTAAATGATATCATTAAGTAATTTATTTGTGCCTTTAAAATGTTTTCATATAAGTGCTTACAGCTATAAAATTTCCTGTTAGGACAGCTTTTACTGTGTCGCAGAGGTTTTGTTGTATTTTGTTTTCATTTTAGTTCAGTACCAGGAATCTTTTAATTTCTTTTTAAAAATTTCTTCTTTGACCCATCATTATTCCATAATGTGTTGTTTAATCTTCATGAATTTGTGTAATTATGGGGATTCATTTAGTGTTGATCTTAAGCTTTATTGCATTGTGGTAGAAAGAACTCATGGAATTATTTCAACTTTTCTGTATTTGTTGAGATTTGTTTTGTGTCGTAGGATATAATCCATTTTAGAAACTCTTTCATGGGCTGTTACGTAAAATGTCTATTCTTTGGTTTTTGGGTAAGGTAGTTTGTAGATATCTATTAAGTCCATTTGATATATGTTACCATTCAATTCTTGTAGTTCTCCCCCCCCCTTTTTTTTTGTCCAGATAACCTATCTAGTGGAGAAAGTGGGCTACTGAAATCATTCACTATTATTGAGCTAGAGTTCATTTTTATTTTTACATCTAGTATTCTCCATTTTATGAAAAAGAGTCCATCTGTGCTTGGTGCATATGTATTCAGGATTGCAGAATTTTTTTGGTTAATTGTTCCCTTGACTACACTTCTGATTAGTTTTAGTTTGATTTCTATTTTCTTAAATATTAGGATAGTGGCAGCTGCTTCCTTCCTGCCCTCATTTTCTTGGAATGCTTCTTTCCATCTTTTTACTTTAAGATGGTACCTCTCTTTGAAGGTAAGCTGAGCTCTTTGTAGAAAGCGGAAAGATAGATTTTGTTTCTTAATTTATCCCACTAACCTTAGGTGAATGGGGAGTTCAAGCCACTGATATTTATATTTATTATTGGAAGGTACCTGTTAATTGATGTAATTTTGTTGTTATTATTGTTATTTTGCTATTTGTATCCTTAGCCCTATTTTGTATTTTAATAATTATAGCTTTGTTATTTTTTAAATTTTTTAAATATTAGTTACAGTTTATTAACTTTGTATCCCAGATGTATCCTGCTCCCTCATTCCCTCCCAATCCCACCCTCCTCGCTTTGTTATTTTTATATAATCTCTTGGATGCTTATTCCTGTATTCAGTCTGAACTATGGCTTCCAGAATTCTCTGCAGGGCTGATTTGGTAGACATGAATTCTTTTAGTATGTTTGTATCTTGGAAAGTTTTTCTTCTTCCAACTATGGCAGATAGTTTTGCTGGTGAAGTATTCTAGGTTGGCATCTGTGATCTTTTACAACTTGAAGTACGTTATTCCTCATCAAAGAAGTTTTTTTTAAAAAATTTATATATATTTAAATTTTTTATATATGAAGTAAACCATTATAAAATCCCACAATTGGTCAAATGCCGTGAACAACTGACCATGTGATGCCCAGTCACAGCTGATAGATATCGTCAACAACACAACCTGGCACCTAGGCTCTAGGAATATTTTGAAAGGGGTAGCAGAAAGGTTGTAAGAACCAGAGAACCAAGATGTCTGCTGTGAGATAGTATCTTCTATATATTATAGGAAAACTGCATTCATGAAGTCTCGAAAATATTGTTGCCTAAATAAGACCTGCACAGTGACATTAGTTGATAGTCCAGTATGGAAGGAGAATATCTCACAAGGCCCAACTCCTAGAAAGAGAGCTATGGGCAATTAATGTCTATAGAGAGAGGATGAATCAGTCTTCTCTGGGGATAAGCTCTCAGTAAGTAATCCAATTGGTCAACCCTTAACAGATGCATATATTAGAAAAACTAAATGGACTCTGCATGTTATGTATTTGTATATTTATATGTCTATACACATATACATACATATATATGTCTATACACATATGTGTATACAGACATATGTAACAATAATTAAAGAAGAAGTCATGAGTTTGAGAGGGAGTTAGGAGCATGGGAAAAGTTGCAGGTTAGAAATGACATAAATACATTACTCATGTGTAACACCCCTCCCCCCCATTAAATTAAAAAAAAAGCAGAAGAAAAGAGACAAAATGGAGACAATTATGTAAAGTCATCTGTTAGGGGACAGAATTAGCTTGATAAGGAAAGCTTCTGTCTCAGAGAATGCCATAACCTGTTGGAATCCCATGGGCTAAGCATTTAAGATTTATTTTATAACATTTCAAAAGATCTGAGTTCAACTAAGAACTGCACTTGAGCTCAAGTACTCAAAAAAACATCATTCATTTACTGCTTTGAAATTTACCAATTTGCCTGTTGTCTCTCCCTGGGAAAGATATAAACAGGCATAGTATTACCACCCAGCACTTCAATGCTGGGGACAATGAAGGGCAGAAATAGTAAACTCTTTCCAAATTCACTCAAGTTCTGGTAGGGGCAGAATGCCAGTGCATAGACTTTGAATTGGAATATTTCCCCCTCTCTATATCAGTGTTGTTTTGGAAATATGGTCTCCAATTAGCAGTATGAGCTTCCCCAGGGAACTCATTAGAGATTGGAGTCCCACCTCTTCTCTAGACCTTCCAAGTAGAAATCCTGAGGGTGCAGGCTAATGACTTCCCGAGCCCCGAGCGATTCTGGTTTCTCATTCAGGTCCCACTCCACAATCTCTTTCTTAATCATGACTGTAAAGAGAACGCACATGGAAGTGTGCTACCCCTGAATGATGGGGTTTGTAAGTGTCCAAGGTAATTAAAAATGTGGCCAGGTTAATAACTACCTTTTACTGTGTGCCTCTATGAACATAATGTAAAATATTGTCAGATCAACGTCCTTGTGTTCCACCAAATGACTCTCTTTCCAGGTGATAACAGTGAATGCATGCTATCAAAGCGACCAGTTGAATTCAGAGCCAGAAGAGACAAACAGCGCTGTAGAGTTCAACAAGAACTGGCTCTCTGTGTCCAACTTCAGCCAGATAAGTACGTGATTATGTAACCTTGGACTCCAACGTCTGACAGAATCGTCTAGATTGTGGTGCTTAGACTATTGATGGTTTCTTTCATCCTTTGGTGTAGAGGTTGAGGTAAAGAGGTGGGAGAAACCACTAAGAGAAACAGCTCTTCGCTGCTTGTAATGCTTATGAAAGGGACAAAATTTCATTTGCTTAAAGGAATTGCTATCAGAATAAAGGAAAGAAATATTAAGTATTAAAATATAGTAATCTTTTATATTCAGAGTGTTTTCCCTAAGATGGGGTCCTTCAGTCTGACTGAAGGAGGAGAGTTTGCTTCATTTTCATAACCCCTAAGGCTCATGCAATACTGATAAGGGCCAGTAGGTCCTTGTTGGTTATCCTTTGTGTCCCACAAAGGGTGTTTACATGTGGACAAGTGTCTTTTAAGCTTAATAAGATGTGTAGAGAAGAGCTATAAGCAAGGCATAGCATGAGAAATAAGGTGAGATGGGGCAGATTGTGAACAGAAACACACAAGTACAGCTTGGAAATTTGTGCACTGGAATAGAGTTATAAAAAGAAAACATGTTATCAAGAACAAACACATTTGAAATTACTTAAATATATAAAGCACTGGTAGATACTGCAGGCTCCATTCCTTTTTCTTTTCTGAGACAGAGTTTCTCTGTACAGCCTTGGCTGTCCTGGACTCATTTTGTAGACCAAGCTGGCCTTGAACTCACAGAGATCTGCCTGCCTCTGCCTTCCAGAGTGATGGGATTAGAGGCGTGTGCCACCATACCCAGCTCTCCTACTTCTTTATGAACCCTCTTTGCTTAGATGCTCCGTGGTCCTCAACTAGATGGTAATTTTTCATACCAACTCCAACCCCTTGCCTTCCCCGGGGGACACTGGGCAAAATCCAGACATGCTTTGTTGCCACAGTAAAGGAGGTGTTCTTAGCAGCTACTAAAAAGAAAAAAAAAAAAAAAAGAAAGAAGAACAGGGATGCTAAAAGGTGTCCTGTGATGCATGGAAAAGGTTGCAGAATTATCCAAAACAGCAATGCCAAAGTGAGCAAACCCTGCTTTGAATTTAAAACACAGAACCTCTGTCAAGCCAGGGTGAGGCAAGTGGATACTAAGCTGGAAGAAGCGTTAGAAATTGAGTAGGAATGATGTTGATTTACAAGTATGGCCCAGGAGCTTAGTTGTTGAGCCTTAACACACAGTTTACCAGAGGCTATACCCTTACATATATGGAATCCACGCATGAAATATGACTCTAGCCGGGATGATGATTCCCTGACAATAACCTGAGCATAAAGAAGGCTGGGACAAGAAGATTATGTCTTCCAGGCAGGTCTGGGCTATTTAGTGAGACCCTTCACCACAGTAAAAACAAAAGCCAGGAGGCTAGCAAGGAAAAACAGAAACCCTGACATAAATCTAGGATGAATCATCTTTTCTCATTTAGAAATGTTATTTTATATATTATATATTAGTATGTTATATATTAGTTATATAACATATTATGTATTTTATAAATAGTATAACCTGTGTTTAGTTTCTATTTTTTAGGATATATTAATTTTAAAAAATGGGCTCACCATGTTATTTCTGTACATGTGCATAACCTGCTTCAATCATATTTACTCTAGTACCTTCTCTTGCCACCACTCCCTCCCTTGGTGGTCCTTCTTCTAAAATAGGTCTCTTCCCACTTTCATGGCATTTAACCTCTAGAGTTCACAGATTTTGTGTATTGTCTTAGTTAGGGTTTTATTTCTGTGAAGAGACCCCACAACCATGACAACACTTACAAAGGAAAACATTTAATTGGAGCTGGCTTGCATTTCAGAGCTTTAGTCCATTACCATCATGGCAGGAAGTGTGATGGCATGCGGACGAACACGGTTCCAGAAAGGTAGCTGAGAGTTCTACTTCTGGACCTGCAGGCAGCAGGAAGAGACAGTAAGGCACCAGGCTTGCCTTGAGCTTCTGAAACCTCAAAGCCCATCCCGCAGTGACACACTTCCTCCAACAAGGCCACACCTCCAGTAATGCCACACCCTTGAGTCTATGGGTGGTCTATTTAGACCACCACACTATGATCACTTTTCCTCAAATGACATTATTTCATTCTTTATGATGAATGAAATTCCATGGTACATACAGTTATGCTTACACCATAGTACATCATTCTTAAATTCTTATATCCTTTTCAATGAATTTCAGACAGGAAGATATGGGTGACAGGAAGGTCTGGGGAGGCATCTTGTTCAGGGAAACTGGCTGACCCCAAGAGCCCAACAGATCTCGTGGGGCCTGGTGTCACCCTCAAGAAAGGAGCTTTATTGTTTCTTTGAAGCATCATAAGAAATAATTGATCTTTTCTGTTTCCCACCATCCAGAGTGAGGTATCCCAGAAGCAGAAAGACAAACATGATATACTCACTTATAAGTGGATATTACACATATAATATAGGATAATCATACTAAAATCTATACACTTAAAGAAGTTAAGTAAGAAGGAGGATCCTGGGTAAAATGCTCAATTCTTATTCAGAAAGGCAAACAGGATAGACATCAGAAGAGGGTAAAAAAAGGAACAAGACAGTAGCTTACCACAGAGGGCCTCTGAAAGACTCTACCCTGCAGGGAATTAAAGCAGATGCTGAGACTCAGCCAAACTTTGGGAAGAGTGCAGGGAATATTATGAAAGAAGGGGGATATAGGAAGACCTGGAGGGGACTGGAGCTCCACAAGGAGAGCAACAGAACCAAAAAATCTGGGCCTAGGGGTCTTTTCTGAGACTGATACTTCAAACAAGGACCATTCATGCAGATAACCTAGAAGCCTTGCACAGATGTAGCCTATGGAACTCAGTGTCCAAGTGGGTTCCCTACTAAGGGGAACAGGGATTGTCTCTGACATGAACTAGTGGCTGGCTCTTTGATCACCATTCCCTGAGAGGGGAGCAGCCTTACCAGGCCACAGAGGAAGACAATGCAGCCAGTCCTGATGAGACCTGATAGGCTAGGGTCAGGTAGAAGGGGAGGAAGTCCTTCCTTATCAGTGGACTGGGGGAGGGGCATGGGAGGATATGAAGAAGGAAAAGTGGGATTTGGAGGGGATGAGGGATGGGGCTACAGCTGGGATACAAAGTGAACAAATTGTAATAAATAAAACAAAAATTGAAAAAAAGTATGGAAATAAAATTTGGGGAGTTGCAAAGTTTTTCCTCTCTTCCTCTTTTAATCAGGGTCTCATGTAGCCCAGGTTGGCCTCAAACTTAATGTGTAGCTGAAGATGACCTTGAAGTTTTGCTCCTTCTGCCTCTAACTCCTGCATGCTGTGGTCTTAGGTGTGCATTGCCGTGCCTGGCTTACACAGTGCTGGGGTTTGAACTCAGCCTACGCATATTGGGCACTCTATCAGCTCAGTATATCCCCAGTTCTCAGGGAGCTCTCTTTCTTTATATGCTCACAAAATTTCTGAGCAAAATTTGAAAATTTAAACTTTTTTCTATGATTTTTTTGTTTTAATGATAATACAGTACTGTTATTGAAACTATATTTATTGTAATTTTATCATATTCTTTGTAATTCTTATACACTTTTCCCTAGAACAAAACCACGTGAAAATATAATTATCATTTCTTACATTTGTTACAGCTCTTAGCTTTGTAGGTATCAGGAGTAATCATAATAAAACAACATCTCTCATTGTCTATTCTAAGAAAAGCATAAAAATTATGCTTGATTGACAACATTCATTTTTCCCCTGTTTTTGTTGTTATTGTTTATTGTACTTTTGTGTTTTGTGCCCTTATGAAGGAAAAGTTACTAATTGACAACTAAAGCTTCATTTATCTTGAAGTATGGATAATAAAGTGCAGGAGACGGTGAATGTATATGTTGCTGAATGTGTTCTATAGAAAGAAAGCTACCATGGATTATTTAATTCCTGATTTTGATCGAGACGTGAAAGTTAGGGTAGGTGGGATGACTCAGAGGGTACAGGGCTTGCTGTACAAGCCTAAGGACGTGAGTTCAAGCCCCAGAATCTATGCAAAAGTGGAAGAGGAGACACAACGCTGCAAAGCTGTCCTCTAACCTCCGTGTGCAAATGCTGCGTGTACATGCCTTGAAATAATAACGCGTACATTTAAAAAAGAGAACTAGAAGTTATTATAAATGTAAATGCAACTATAGAAGAATAGAAATAGAATGTACAGTTTTCAATCACTTATGAAAAAAAAGTAAAAAAAAATGAAACTTTGTGAAACTTGCTAAAAATAGAGAAAACTATATGTAAGTTTAAATAAATGCACTGTGTCCAGATTTTTCTATTTGGGAAATGTGATTTGAATGTAACACATTTCAACCAATTTTCTAATTTTTCTTCTTCTTTTAAAAAACAAGGTTTAGAACCTTATATATATCATAAAATGAAAATGAAGGAGATTGAGCAACATACTACCCAAGCCAGTGATTACCTAAAGTGCTGTGAAGAGGTAAAAAACCTTTGATAGTTTTCTAAGACATTTGTGCATTTAATACCTCACTTTGCTGGATTGCTTTTATTCCCTCAGCCCATAAATCGCCTCTATCTTTGCTGGCACTGGATTGAAATTCACAAGTCAATCCTTGCTTAGTTTTGGACTTCTCTATATTCTCTTTCCTTCTGCAATTTGTTTATCCTGGGAATGCTTACTGTAAGAGAAAGGATTTAATTTTTCAGACTTGTGAATATTGTCATATGCAAGAAAAACAGGTTCTCTCCAGCATGCTTTTCAGAAGCATATCGGGATGTAATTACTGTGAGATAGATTATAGCTGATCTCCGAAGAGACTTTTACCAATTGGGGTCTTTAAGGATGGACTGCAGGAATCTGCTCAGATAGGAGGAAGGGATGAAAACATTGCAGGGAGAAGGCCCTTCTGTGCTCCTGTAATGCCCGGATGTCCAATTTTGCAAATGTGTGCCTTGTTTTAGTGCTGTCTTTAAGTGTGGTATTGACACAGAGTAACCTAAGTAACCTAGCCATGGTTTTGGTTTGAATAAATGAACCCAGAAACTAGAAACACTACCTAAATGAGCATCTTCAGGTTTTTTTGTGGCAATGACATCTAAAAGATTTTGAAAATAAAATGAGGATAATTTACCCTCACATGAGGATAAATGGTAGAAATGATAATTCTACCATTTTCTATCTCTCCTTCCTAAGACTGTATGTGTCGGTTAGCCTGTGAGTGCCATTAAGTATCTCTGTGAAATGCTCTCTTTACAAGATTATCAGAAGTCTCCAACCAAGACAACTCATAGGGAAATGCCAAGTGCTATGCCCAAAGTATACTGTGTCTCAAGAAATATGACTTGGATAAACAGGAAGTAGAATGAAGTAAATCCAGCATAATTTTCTTTAGACACACTTCCTCACACCCATCGTCTGGAGCAGTGGGATACTTCTGACAGGGATGTTCTGATGTGATGGTCAATGTTACCAAACACCTAGCCAAAAGAAACTCACAGGACCAGGCTGGTAGTTTGGCTGGTAGTTTGAGCATACAGTCCATCATGGGACTGGGAGGCATAGTTGGTAGTGAGAGTGGCAGAGTTAGGAAGCTTGCTCATGTGTCTGTAGACCAGGATGCAAAGGATGGGATGTGACACCCAGTTGGCTTTCTCACATCTCTGTCTCAGTCTGGGAACCCAGGTCATGGGATGATGCTATCCTCCTTCAGGATGTGCCTTCCCACCTCAGCTAATCTCTCTTGAAATCTCCTCATGAACACACCCAGAGGTGTTTCTCCTGCCCTTCCCCTTCCTTTCCTTTTTCCTTTCCTTTCCTTTCCTTTCCTTTCCTTTCCTTTCCTTTCCTTTCCTTTCCTTTCCTTTCCTTTCCTTT